TTGTGTTAAAGTCCCGAGATATGTGATCTCATTAAGTATCGATTTTGGGTCTAAAAGATTTCGGATCTAATCAGTTCAAGGTACAATCAATTCTGAGTTTAATCCGTTTTAGGTTCAACCAGTTCAGTTTCAATCGGATGTGGATATGAATCAAGTCCGAATACTACATTTGGTTGAAATCATTTTGGGTGTTCGGGTATAATTAAAAATTTGAATTTTCAAGTAATTTTGGATTCGATTTCAAATTATTTGGTTCGGATTATCGGGTCGGGTTTGTTTTGCGAGGCCTAGTAGTAGGCCAAAAATGATATGAAGACGACAGGAAAATACGGAGTAGCTAGCTAGCTAGCTATATAGTACAGTAAGAAAGGATCGGTGATGTATGCACATGCATGCATGCAGTAGATGGATGCATGGGACGGGAGGATGAATGGCTCCCAAGAAAATAAAAGAAAGAGTTACGCCGCCCGCAGAGTGAGATTTTTGCTAGAAGATGACACAAAACCTAACGGGGTAACCCACCCAAGGGCAGGTGATAGGCACATAGGGGCAGCTGAGTCACTGCAGGACATGTGGGTCAACTCGGTCGGGGACAGCTCCGACCGGCGCACGGTGACTCCCTCCCGGTGGGCTCTTTTTCTTTTCCGGCGCCCACTTCCAGATTTGCTTATCCTATCTAACTATCTAGCTATGATCGCGTCCCGTAGATAGATATGTATGGTGTGTATGTATATATGCATAATGCATTATATATACGACGACTTGTATCATACCATATATATATACATACCATACCATACCATACGACCCCGGCGGCACATGCATACATACCCACACATTTGCTACATACATACGGAGTACATACGGCGTACGTGGTTAAACGAATATATGGCGCATGAAACTTCACCGTCCGATCGCCGTCGTCGTACAAATCCCAGCCTCCTCATTAGAGACATATATATGCGCTTTATGCTTATAATTATCACTTCCAATATTACTCCCTGAAAGAATTATGAAAGAATAATTGGGAGGAAATTCTCTCTGGATTTCTTGTGTTCAATTTACAAAGTAGACATGTATATATAGGTTCTCACAGATTGAGAAACCTAATCACAAAAGGAAACGAAATCAACCCTATACAAGGAAGCTACCAAAAATAATATATACACAAATATCTCCAAATATTCTACCAAATATTTTCTTTCCTTTAACACCCCCCCTCAAGTTGGAGCATGTAGTAACGAAATGCCCAACTTGGGAAGAAGAAACTCCAAACGTGACTTTCCGAGTGCCTTTGTATGAATGTCTGCAAGCTGATGCGTAGTAGGCACGTGAAGTGTACGAATCTCTCCTCGCAAGAGCTCATCACGAACGAAGTGACAATCAATCTCAATGTGCTTCGTGCGTTCGTGGAAAACCGGATTAGCAGCAATGTGAAGTGCTGCCGTGCTGTCACACCGGACCGTCATGGGGTTCTTATGCTCAACCCCTAAACACCGCAATACATTCTTCAACCACTTCAACTCACATGTAAG